ATACAGCTTTTCCCTTGAGAAGTATTCCACCTATTTTATCACCTGTTTCCACTACAAGACACTTGCTTTTAATTTTCTCACAGTCATATTCAAAGAAATACCAAAGTGGACTTTGTTGTTTTCTCCCAACTTGCGTTGTCGTCATTTAGCAGATGATGCTGTGCAGCAGCAGATTGTAAACCAGTGTTATTATGAACATCAGCTAATGGGAAACTACTTGATTTTGGGGAAAAAAAGATCCACATGGCTCAAAATAAATTGACAAACACTGAAACTAAGGATATTCTACCTATAATTTCAGATAGTTTTAGTTTTTGTACAAAGATTATACAGTTTTAGTTAGTTAGTTATCGTTTTTTTCCATTTTATTACAGTTTTTATTTATTTCAGTTAACTAAAATGTTTTTTCAATTTCAGTTTTTGTTATTTAGTTAGTTTTAGTTAACTATAATAACCCCGGTACAGACTCTGCAAAACTGCAGAAGCTGCCCTGATTCATCTATCAATCTCACGCTCCAATATTTCCTCATTCATCAACAAAACCCCAAGATACTTGAACTCCTCCACTGGAGGCAGAACTTCACCCCCAACCTGGAGAGAGCAATCCATGCTTTTCCAACTGAGGATCATGGACTCAGATTCGGAGGTGCTGATCCTCAACACCGCTCCAGTGAGAGCTGAAGATCACAGTGCGATGATGCCAACAGAACCACATCATCTGCGAATAACAGAGAAGAAAGCCTGAGGCCACTAAACCGGACTCCGTCCACCTCCTGGCTGCATCGAGAAATTCTGTTCATGTAAGTTATGAACAGAATCTGTGGCAACGGGCAGCCCTGGTGGAGTCCAACTCCCTACTGGCAACGTGAACCAAACTTTTGCACCGCTTGTATAGAGACTGAATGGCCCGCAATAATGAACCCACATTCCCATACTCACGTAGCACCCCCACAGTGTTTGGTAAAAAGGCATATATTTCCTGCTGCCTTTGCAGAGTTTTACATTAAGATCAATTTATATTGAGGGAAGAAAATAAATGTTAAACTATCCTGATGCATCTCAGTAATCCAGGTAGAAAAAATCAAAAAGAAATAAGTAGATCCTCTGGATGGGTTCTTCTTTAGTGAAACGTTTCGTCTCTCCAAGAGACTTCTTCAGTCTGAGAGTTTCAGGTGAAACTCAGCCTTATAAGCCCTGCCTCCACATGGTGGACAAGGGGATGCCGAGCCCTACTTGTACTCACTACATACACAACACGACACCAAAAAACCACAGCCGAAGCATCCAAACCAATAAGTCAGGTGATGGGGTACATGACCCTCTATGAACAATAGAGCCAATCAAGCCTATTGTTAGGCGATGGTCCTCTTTTGCATGTGACTAACCTGTTTGTCCATGTGGAGGCAGTGCTTATAAGGCTGAGTTTCACCTGAAACTCATCAGACAGAAGAAGTCTCTTGGACGAGAGATGAAACGTTTCACTAAAGAAGAACCCATCCAGAGGACCTACTTATTTTTTCTTTTTAAATATTAAACTAATTTAGTGAAACTTTGAGAATAACATCATACTGATTGGATATGTGAGATGTGCTTACAGCATGTGTTGGGTATGACTCTCCGCTACTACCATCATAAATTTTAGGTCAATATCTCTATGCTGGACTGAGTTATTGATATTTCTGTGCGTGTGGCGGCCATCTTTAATACTCCAGAGCGAATCAGATGTAGAGAGACGATCACATCCTGAAAGTTCAGTTCAAATTCATTCAGTGGTTCAAACACAGCTAAAACCATTTCTGCTTCTCCTTCAGTGGTGGGAGATAAAATCTACTTTTAAAGAACATAAATTAGATACAAATGTTCATTTCAGCATAATTTCAGATTAATAGAAACCTTACTTACAGCCGTTAAAAAGAAACAACTGTGTCGACGTGTACAGTGAATACAGAAGTACAGACAAGGTGCAGAAAATATTTTATTTTCTACTAAAGATACAGCTACAGTAAGAGGCTGAGATTACAGCTGGATTGATCCTCTGGATGAAACAACTTTAACATCAGATTAAAGTAATGAATGAAAAATATCATCAGACACTTCAAGTGAAATGTTTTTGCACAATTTAAATGAAAATAAAAAACACTGATTTATAGAAATAACATGGATTTCTACACTGCAACTAAACACCATCAGAAAAACAAATATGAAAAGAATCCACGTTAAAGAAACAGTTTATTCTACGTGTTTAACACTAGTAAAGATTTTTGGTGTGTTGATTGTTTCTGTGATTTGACATACAGCTAGCTGATTTGGTTGAGCTAATAAGCTAGCTGAAAGCAGCTAAATTCATCCTTTTCAGCATGTGAGCCTTTGGTACGACAGTGTTTAGAACTAAAATACATTTATCTTTAAAAAAATGTCAGTATTTTTTGTTTTTTAGTTGCATTAGGATTGAAACTAACTAGAAGCAAACTAGCTAAAAGCAGCTAGCTGGTTTGATTGAACAGCTGCTAGCGATCAGAGAAATAGCTAGGTGAACAGTTATAGCCGAGAAGAGAATATTTCTGACTCCTGTTTAGGTTCAGTTGCAGAAGTAGTTGATTTTAAAAATTGTGCAGATAAATCTGCCTGTTTCTGGTTTAGTGAAGCTTCAAAATCCCTCATCAGGTGACCTCTGTGTTCAGTCTGGTCCTTAGACCAAAAAGCTAAATATCATGTGTGTCATTAAAGACACACTCAGACAGACGGACTATCAGCTGCAGTTTGGTCAGTTTAGTATCGGAGTAAAAGTGAAAGGCTGGTATTTTACAACATTGTGTGACCTGCTACTGGTTCCCCCCTTCGCCTGTTTTGAGTCCAGCTCCACAACAGCTGAAAGGAAGCAGGAATGTTGGTCGGCAAACAAACTGTGCGACAGGCCAGTGCTGATGCTCAACTTCATAGCTCAGCTAAGATAACATGTATACAACATGTAGATAACATGTGAACCCTGTGAGCCCAGCAGCTACGAGGAGGCTAGCATGGAGCTACAGCATGCTCAGAGTGAGGAGGGCTTAGATCAGGGGCGCCCAAACATGTTCCCTGACAGGGCCAAAATTAAAATCAATCTGAGGGCCGCGGGCCAAATGCAATAATGTAAGAAATGCAAATACTTAAGTAAATTTGTTTTATTTTTTATGATTAAGCTAGCAGCGAGTGTGGTTGCCCATATTCTTTAGTTGTTTATTTTTTTTTCAGCCCATGGACATGGAGAAAATTCAATGTATGCTCAGGCAGCAAAGGCTCATGGGAATTTTCATAATTTAAAATCTGAGTATATGTGGTTTTATAAAGGTGTGCAAATCTATATATGGGCTTAAATCTAATCTAAATGTCTCTTGTAGTTACTTGTATTTTATATTTAATATTAACATAATTACAATCTAGTAACCAGGACAATTGCTGGTGGGCCAAATCAAATGGCTCAGCGGGCCAATTTTGGCCCACGGGCCCCACTTTGGGCACCTCTGGCTTAGACGATGGTTGAACATCAACACTGAACTTTACAGCACGGCTTTCTGAAACAAAACTTTAACGCCACGTTACATTTAAAAAGAGCTGAGAACTCAGAGTCTCTGTGGATAAAATCTGATCCTCTGACTCTTTGTTTTGATTAATAACTCAAACAAGTGCTGTTAATGCTACATTTGTTGATGCAGAATGGTTGAACTTGGGCTGTTCTGTTTGTTTTATCTCTCCTAGTTTTGTGAACTCTATGTATTGTTTGATATGTGGATGTCCTGGAAAAACAAATTATCCTTTAAAGTCCTACATTTCTTCTCAGGCCAAGAGTCAGTGACCTCTTTTGCTTACATTAAAATGTAATCATGTTTTATGATTTTACTTTTTAATCTTCCGTTTTCTCTCGGACAAAGTGTTTTAAGATCAGGACAATATCTGTTTAGAAGTAATCATTCTTGTTGCTGTTTATCAAACATCATTCTGTCCTTGGCCCAGTTATCTGTCTGGATAACATACTGTATAAATGTGTGTATTTGAAACTGCCTCAGTGCACACATTTTTTACCACTGCCCTGTGTGACATGATGTGTGTCTTGCAATTGCAAGACACACATCATGTCACACAGGGCAGTGGTAAAAAATGTGTGTCTTGCAATTGCAATAAATCCTGTTGACCATTTCATGGAGTACTTTATATTTTTGGACCACGTATTTGTTAAATAAATATTTCCATAAATAAAAAACAAACATTCAAACAGACCAGACTGTTGTTGCAGCCTGCATCTGCTTAATCTGTTTTAATTCTCTTACGTCAAACATAAACACCTACTTTTTGAAATGAAAGCTTTCTTTTTGCTGATTTGAACTATAGAGAAAGGCAAAAATAAATAAAAAATAAATTGTGAGCTGTTTTTTGTTTTAAAATATGATTTATACTTTGAAATGAAGAATTTGACAGTAAATCTGTAAATTAAGGTCAGTTCATTTTTCTTTGTGGTAAATCAACCCTCAGAGTTCTGTTGTAAATCTGTTTTTGTATCGATTTTGTTCTTCTTTTGACCAAACAAACCACTGTTTGTATAAAATCAGTGGTTTAAACTAATCTTTAGGCAGATCTGATGAAAACCTTCAGGACTTTTTCTTTGCTCTCAGAACAGGTCGAGTCTCTCTCACATCCAGGTTGTTTGCATATTCAGAAAAAAACTAACATAAATATGTGTTTGTGCTACTCAGCTATAACGACAGAAATAATCCTAATTATTAATGCTTTTCATTTCTGAAGAATTAAATATGTCATAAATACGGTTTCACAACTAAAACGTAGCTCAGGTCTTCTTGAAAAAGTACAGAACTGAGTAAGGTTGAGAAAAAAAAATGCTACAAATCTGGGATTAGGATTAAACTGCATTCTTCAGCTAAACGTGTGACTCAGATCCTTTAAAGCTGCTACAACCTGAGGTCTGACTGCAGGAGGAAAAGAATTCCAGACAGGTAAGAGTAACAAACAAACAAACAACTTGAGACTGGATCTGATCAGGAATGAGCACCAAGAAAAAAAAAAGATGCAACAAGTTAAAGTTACAGGAGTTTTCTCTGGACTCAGAGACAGTCCAAGTCCTGGTTCTGGTCTCATCTGAGGCACCAGAAACCCAACAAAGCCTTCTCAGGGAAAACCAACAGAAGGAATCCAAATCCTGCCTCTGCAGGGGCCTCACGTTAAAAACAACAAATGAAACCGTTTTAATTTCTGCCAGGAGCAAAATAAAAGCATGGTTTATGGAGAAGGCACCATTTTCACACCTGTTTCAGGACGATTGTTGACGACCTGATAATCCACAGAAATAATCTGAATAATTCACACAGAACAGTGATCAGAGAGGAAACATTCATCTGGTCCTCATGTTTAATCCAGCTCTGGTCTGGACGGCCTCAACCTGCACCTGGACCAGACTGAACCAGACTAATCAATCCCAGGACCTGCTTGTTGAGACATCAGTACTAACCACTGATCCACCGTGCTGAGCCCAGTCTACTGAGGACATTTTACATGGTTCAGGGTTCACAATATCACATTATACTTCCCTGCAGAAGCCAGCTGATCGGTGTACAGGTTCAGCACAGTGTTTTAATAGATTTAGTTGATATAACTGATCAGTCAGTTGATAATAAAGAGTAACCGGAGCTGCTGTGACGTACTTCACTCCTACAAGAAACACTGGATTCTGCTCCAAACAACACAACAAAGCTACTTTATAATTTATAAGAAATGCACTTCTTTTAAACAAATTTAACAAAATAATTTAAATTTATTTGTTTTTGGTCAGGATTAAATTCACATCAGACCAAATTCAAAGCATTATTGTTTTGCTATGTTCCTAATACTGCATGTTTTAAGGTGTGGCTGTGTTTGAAAAGTAAAAACCAGTTGAAACACGAGGCCCCTGCTTCCATCATGTGATGAAGAAACGAAACGTCAGTAACATCCTCTGAGAAAGACAGCTGACAGTCTGCTGATGCCAGGCGGGGTGGGCGTCATGTGACCCGGCTGCAGCAGGCGGCTCCAGTGACTGACGGCGGGGGGAGGGGCTTACACTGAACAGGGGTTACCGAGCTCCTCGAACATCTGGGCTTCTTCAATCCCTCGTGCAAACAGCTTGATGAGGCGGCAGTGCACTCTGAGGAGCAGGAAAGAAGAGTGTGTTTAAGAGTTTCAACGCAGGTGCAGGAGGACCCTCAGACTCTCGTGGTACCTGACGTCGATGGCCGTGTGGGTCAGGATCTCGCCGTCGCAGTTCCAGCTGCTGTAGGCGGGGGCGCAGCCGCAAGCCGGGTGGTCTCGGCAGATCTGGCTGAAAATCTGCCGCTTGCTGCTCTCCGGCAGGTCCAGCTCCAGGTCCGAGTCGCTCTGGCAGTGACGCGGCGCGAAGCGGAAACGCACCACGCGGTGGACCTCCACGAAGTTCAGGTCGAACTGACGGAGGAGGAGGAGGAGGAGACGGACGCCATGTTGGACAACTCAAGACAAAATGATCCGATCTGGTTTTAATGTCAACCAACCTGGTCGTCTTTGTTGGTGTGACGGAGGAGGTGCCTGAGGAAGCTGAAGCGGGAACACTTTCGAACCAGGATGAGGTCGGTGGTGCCGTCGGCCAGGTGAGCCGCAGGAGAGAGACCTTTAGGGCTGCGAGGACAGGCACAGCTCATACTGGCTGCATTTATGGCCAGGAACTTCCCTCGGATCGTCCTCCACTCACCGTCATCCTCTGAAACAGAGAAGCAGACTGAAAACTGACCTTCGCTCCTCAGAGGGTCGAAACTTTGACTTCAACCCGTGTTTAAAATGAGCTGCAGACATGTTGATTATGACAGGAGATGTGAAATAAACCTTTACGAATCATGTACTCAGAATAATCAGGAAACTCTACAGCCTGACAGGAAGTATTCATGTTCCTCTGCATGATAAGGTTTACATCAGCAGGTCCGGTTGTTGGACTCACCACACTCTGACGTCTCATCTGGCTCGTATTTCATGGCTCTTTCTGACATTTTCTGTCCATTGTGCTGACAAACCACACAGCTGCAGATTTACAGACACACAAACGTCAGGGAGCTGTTCATGTGGACAAACGTCTTTTTACTCGTAAACAAACAAACACACAGGGGTGCCCAAACCTTTTACACGAGAGGGCCAATATAAAAATCTATCTGAGGACTGCGGGACAAAATTAATGATATAACACATGAAATACAAATACTTTTTAAATAAAGTTCTTTTATTTTGAATGATTAAGTTAGCCGCCCGTGCGGTGGCTCACAGCTTTTAAGTTTTCTTTAGCTGTATGCTCAGAGGCTAAAAATGCTGAAAATATAGATGCAGGACAACAGAGCTGCTTCATGGAAGAACCTCAGTTTAGCCAGTTAGCCTTCGCGTTAGCTCTCACGCTTTATTGCCTTATATGTATTAGCTCAGCGCTAGCGCGACAAACAGGCTAAACTGAGGTCCTCCATCCATATTTTCAGTT